CGTTAGGCCATCTAATACTCTCAAGTGCTTCTATGCTATGGCTGTTTACTAAGATTGAACTGAGATACGTGTTAAATTCGAAGTTGGGCTGAAAAACAAAAAAAAACATTGGAGTCACATTTAACATTTGAAAATTTTGGCACAGCTTAACACTTAAATGCTTAATTATTGCTATATATAAATATATATCTCAATATCTATATATATATATATATTATGTAATACTAACTAATACTAATAGGTCTGTCTTGGATACATTTCTAGTGTGGCAATACAGTTTTGGAATAGTGAAATAGTTCATTAGCGTATGGCCTTACAGATACAATGGATTTGTATGCGTATTAACTTAATCTCTATAAATGGAAGAACAGTTTCGCCTTATTAAATGAGAACAAAAAAAAAATAAAAATACAAAATAGAAAGGAAATTGCTGTTGTTTCTGTTTTTTAGGGTTCGAGCAGCTCAAACGCAAAAAACAAAAATTTTTAAACATTACACAATATTCAAAATTAAAACGAAAACGAAAAATAATTGCACACACATTGAGATTGTTGTTTGCTTTTTAGTTTTTAAAGGACATGGAAGCGAGAGTACTTTTGTTGTTGTTGTTAATGTTGCTGTTTGTAGTTGTTGTTGTTGTAGTAGTTGCTGGCAGTTAGATTCAATCCGTAACGCCCAGATGCACCAGCTGCTGCATGGTGCGCTGCAAATAGGTGGGATCTGGAAACATATTGAACTGCGTCTTGTGATCCACACTATTCCAAATGACCACATCCTCACGCCCCGTGGTCACCGAGCGTCCAATCGAGAACAGCAGTCGACGATCGAACGCGATCTTGAGAAAGCGCAACACCTTCCGTCCCAGCGGACAGTCGGGCAGATAGCAAACGCGCGGAAACCCAACGGCAAAGAAAGCGCGTCCCGGATGCGGATGCTCAGCGGTCTGCAAGCCCGAAGCAATGCTGCGAAAAAAAAAGAGCGAGAGTTGTAGCCATAGTAACTGGGGAATAGTCCAGCCAACTCACTCGTAGACAATCTGTATGGTGTTCTGGCCCTCGTGGCCGGGCAAACTTTTGCTTATGATGCTCCAGGACATGCTGCCAATGGGTTGATTGCCCACCTTTTCGCCGTAGACAATGCCACACACGGGGCACTCGATGAACAGGTTCTGCTGCAAACGTGAGAGAGAGAGAGAGAGAGAGAGAGAACGAGAGATATATAGTCAACAGCATAAATTAGAGCGAGTTAGCACGAGTATTTCTATGCAATGAAAATTGGATATATATGAGAATATGGGATATGGGAAACAATTGCAATTCTTCATTATCTTGCATTCGTGAACGTTTTACTGGCTGTAAATATGGCAATATTTGTAGGTATGTAGCATAGAAACTATTTGTCCTAAGTCTAGTCTGTGTTAAACGATTTATCACTTAGTAATTCTGCTTTGTTAAACATTCGTTAACGTTGCACGGACTGCCATCGGATTGGACCTAATCAGTATAGGCCAATTGGAAGTCTACTTCTATGCCTATCATCTGATCTCTATCTTTCATTTTGCTAGCCATAAACTGAGCAAATGAATCGGTATGAATGTTTAGCTATGATCGGTAACAACATTAACCTTCTCCTGTCTTACCTTATTAAGCTCATTCTGCTGCGCGATAATCATACCATTGAGGCACTGCAGATGCATCAAATGCTGGCAGCGACTCAGCGATATGGCAGGATTTTGTGCCGAGTGCACCAGCTCCTCCATGCACATGGGGCAGGGCTGGGCGTTTGGCCACAGCGGCGGCTCGACAACCTTGACAAAGCGCGATATCATATCGCTGGCTGGGTCCACGCCCACAATCGAACCAGCGATTGATTGCTGTTGTTGCTGCTGCTGTTGCTGCTGCTGTTGTTGCTGTTGCTGCTGCTGCTGCTGTTGCTGCTGCTGATGATGATGATGTGGCATAGGCAACGGCGGCGGTACCGGCGCCCGCTCTCCCAACGACGAAGGCGGCAGCGACGGCACAAACACCTCATCGCTGCCCAACGAACAGTCGAGCAGATCGTTCACAGATATGGCAAAATTGCGGCTCCGCAGGCTCTCCTTGCTCTCGTGGCTGAGATACGTGGAGACGGTGTCAACGCTCGGCCTGCGCCGATGCGACTTGACGCTATTCGTATCGGTGTCTGAGACACGCGTGCGCGAGCGCGATCGGTGCGAGCCCAGGCGACTGCTGCGCTGCGACTGCAGCGAGCCCTCGGAGCATCGGCTATGATGGCTATTCATCGAGGAGGTCAGCATGCTCTTGCTGCTGTGCGAGAAGTGCGCCTGATGCTGCATCAAATGCAGCGTGGAGCCAGCTACATTCGAGTTGCAGCTGCCGACTGCTGTCGCCAGATGATTGCTGCCGCCGTTGTTGTTGCTGTTGCTGCTGCTGTGCTTGGTGCTGCTACCAAAGATGTTCAGGTTGTTGAGGATCTGGCGCAGATTTGTGGTGGATATTTCGCTGTGTTTCTTGTGCGGCTTGCGTGATTGCTGCTGCTGATGCTGTGTGTGTTGATGCTGCTGGTGTTGTTGGTGCTGATGTTGTTGATGCTGATGTTGCTGATGCTGATGTTGCTGATGCTGATGATGATGATGTCCATGCGTGGGCAGTGGATGCTGCTGTCGATGCATGGGCGGCAGCATGGCGCCCATTTTGGGCAGCGTATTATTGTTTCTCTGCTGCTGTTGCTGCTGCTGCTGCTGTTGCTGCTGTTGTTGTTGTTGCTGCTGCTGTACATAGTCATGGCCATTGTTGTTGGCCTTCAGCTGCAGCGCCTGCTGCGGCGTCAGCTTGACCAACGGATACGGCGCCTGTTGTGTGCGCCGTATGCTGCGCAAGGGGCCGCTCGGCTGCCGCATTTGCGTCAAGTTGCAAAAGTTGATGGTGTATGGCAGGCTGATGTTCGTGTTGCACAGATCCAAGGTTTGCTCGCCCTGCAAGTGAACATTATAATTATATTTTAGATAAGCCTATATATATTTGATGTTCAAGAACTTACGCGCGCCCACGCATCCTCAATGATGCACTGCACATGCATGTTGTATGGCCGCCAATCACAATTGTTGTCCGCGCTGCCCCCGCCGGACCACTCCCACTTGGTGCCCTTGCCCGCCGGGCTGCTGGGCGCATAGAGCATGCGCCGCACGCCAATTGTTAATAGACCGCCAGCCTCTGATTCGGTATCCGACTCTTGGGTCATGGTCCGCACATTCACATAGTATTGCTCCAGGCTGGGATCGGCGTCGCTGAGCATAACACGCGTCAGTTTCTTGGCATGCGCACGCTCCAAGTGCTGCGACACAGCCGGCGAATAGGGAAGCCATTTGCCACCGCGCGACTCATATTCCCAGACGCAAACGGCATGAGTATGATTGATGGCTCCGCCACCAACGCCGCCTGCAGCAGCCACACATCCACCACCAGCCCCATTGCTGGCCATATTGTGTATCTTTCTGCACTCACTTCATTTTGTAACTATTATTGTCTATTTTTATTTTAATTGATAACATCAATAATATGTGCGTTTATTTTCTTGATTTTCCTTTTATGCTCGTTCCGAATTTTCTGTTTATGCATTCAAATTCGGCTGCGATCGTTGCTGACACTGCGACACTGCGACGAAGATGGAACACAAAATAAACAAAGAAATTAAAAATGGTGGCCCTGCATGGGCAGGGGTGGAGTGCACCGCAGCACCATGTCAATCAGTACCTTTTGCGGCTTGATATTTTGTATTTAAATGTACCACTTGCACCACACTTTAACTAAAACGTAATTTTAACTGATCTTTACTTAATTTATATGCTAATTTTAACATTTGGGCGCAAGCGCAAATGGTAATGCAACAGGTAGAATAAATTATAGTTTGTGCAGTGTGGACGTATTTTCAGCTATAGTGCATGACTTTTCGAAAGATTCAGTATTTTCTTTCAATAAGTACACTATCGAAACACTGTGACATGCAGCTCTGAATGCGCCATCTAGTGGCTTTTAAATGAAAACTACGTGCACATACAACCCTGGCGCTAGCAAATGTCAACTTTGACAAGAAAGCAACTTCCGCCGCTCTCGCAATTCCTTTACCTTTCTGACGGGCAGACGTAAAGCTGGTCTTTTAAACGACCCGCAAAATAATCTGCTTTTTTTGTTAACATCGTTGAATAAAACTGCGTGAAAATGGTTGTTAAGAAGGTAAACAATGCTACCCAACCAAATGATATCAACATTCCCACTGGCAAATGTTGCGCGCCGTGAATTATCTCGAAATATTTTTTTATGCAATTTTTTTATTTGTGTTTTGTTTTGTGTTATTGTGCCATACAAAATATACATAATATGCATATGTGATGCGTATAGTGCTGATTCTCCCGTGCTTATGTGTGTGTGCTTCCTATTAAAACTGAATCAATTTCACGTTTCAGCCCAGGCCAAAGAAGAAGCCAGTGACCAAGAAGGTGGCCCCAGCTCCATTGGCTGTGAAGAAGCCCGTGGTCAAGAAAGTTGTTAACCAACTCTTCGAGAAGCGTCCCAAGAACTTTGGCATTGGTAAGCAATTGCAATCAAAAGCAAATCGTATTCCACGAATTCCTTATTCATCATTTCATTTTCAAATTTGCAGGCCAAAATATTCAGCCCAGGCGCGATTTGTCGCGTTTCGTGCGTTGGCCCAAATACATTCGCATCCAGCGTCAGAAGGCTGTGCTGCAGAAGCGTCTGAAGGTGCCACCACCAATCAACCAGTTCAGCCAAACCCTGGACAAGACCACAGCCGTGAAGCTATTCAAGCTGCTGGAGAAGTATCGTCCCGAGTCGCCGCTGGCCAAGAAGCAGCGCTTGAAGAAACTGGCTGAAGCCAAGGCCAAGGGCAAGGAAGTTGAGCCCAAGAAGAAGCCCAGCTATGTCTCGGCCGGCACCAACACTGTCACCAAGCTCATTGAGCAGAAGAAGGCTCAGCTGGTTGTCATCGCTCACGATGTCGATCCCCTAGAGGTAAGCTTCCTCTCCCTGTCTCTCTCACTCCTAGGAAATGGTGATCATTCTATGATGATGTTAATTTGAATTTCTTCAACTGAAACGTGTTATTTATTTATATAAAACACGTTGTCTGTGGTAAATTGACAGCTGAGTTTGTTCGCCCATAAAGAACAGGAGAGAACACCTCCGCCTTTGAGCACGTGTTATTTGATGAGATTGACTGATTGTTTTCTCTTTTTAGCTGGTGCTCTTCCTGCCCGCCCTCTGCCGCAAAATGGGCGTGCCCTACTGCATTGTCAAGGGCAAGGCACGTCTGGGCCGTCTGGTGCGCCGCAAGACCTGCACCGCGTTGGCTCTGACCACCGTCGAGAATAACGATAAGGCCAACTTTGGCAAGGTTCTGGAGGCTGTTAAGACCAACTTCAATGAGCGCCACGAGGAGATTCGTCGCCACTGGGGCGGTGGTATTCTGGGCTCCAAGAGTTTGGCACGCATCGCCAAGCTGGAGCGTGCCAAGGCTCGTGAGCTGGCCCAGAAGCAGGGTTAAGTTAGAGATGCGCAGCAGATGCAGCAACTATTTTGTATGCCTAAATAGCATATGGACGTCGATTCAAGTAGAGAGTTGATCCCAAATCCATACGAAAAACAACAACAAATAAACATTTAAGTGTACAATTTTTAACTATTTTTTTTACTCTCTCAATATGTGTATAAAACTGTGCTAGTGCCGCTTGAACGGGCCAAGTCTAAATGCTTGGCGTTCAATAAATTTATAAGCTCAATTCGAGAATTTCAATAATCTTATTTGCCAAAAAAAAAAAAAAAACGGCTCAGAACTTTTTTTCGAGTGCTGTAAAATGTTGGCCGTTGCGATTAGCAGTGCCCTTTTGAGTTTAAGCGGCTGTTGATCACGTTCGAGAACTTGTGTTAAAAGCCGGCTTGTTTTAAATTGCAAATGTATATTTGCTTAATGCCATTAACAAGCCCAACAGCTTTGAAAAAAACTTGGCACAACTTATATACATACATATACGCTTAGGATTGATCAAATAAACTAAAACCTCGCTAAAATTCAATTTTTGCATACTTAATTTTTTTACCGGCAAATAAAACCATTTTTGCACCTACAGCAAAATCTGTGCTTAACAGTGCCTTTTTGAGTCTAGCAGCTGTTAGTGTTGAATACGCGCCAAAATTCAAATTCAAAAGGTAAAAAGTATAAGTATATTTATAAAATAGTCAAGTAAAAGTTGAATCAGTTTAATGGGTAATATTATATTTTGGAACGTTCCGTTTTGATGGCTCGCAGCTTGATGCTCTGAATTGCCTCGTTCAAGATGCTGAGGACCATGTCTACCTTTTCCAGTGTCGCATTCTCGCCCATCAGACCAATCCGAAAGACATGCTCCACTGTGGGACCCAAGCCGCCGCTGATTTCCAGATTGTACCTGCCGTGGGAGAAGATTATGTTCACATGATTATATACATTGAGATTGAGATCTTGCTGTTCACCCACTTGCGCATTGCGTAGTCCGCCACCTTTCGCCAGTCGACGCCAAAGGGCACTTTCACGGCATTGACCGTGGGCAGACGATCCGGCTCGTGCTGCACAAACATCTCCAGGCCCAGCTCCTCGATGCCCAGCTGCAGTCGCTGCGAGCACTCCAAGTGCCGTTGCACCACGTTCTTCAGGCCCATCGCGCAGAAGTGAGCCAGCGCCTCGCGCAGGCCGTAGAGCAGGGTCGAGGAGATGGTGTGGTGGTAGATGCGCGGCGTGCCATAGCAGCCCCAGTACTGGCCAATGAGCAGCACATCGAAGTAGTAGACCTTCGGCTTGGTCTTCCGCTGCTTGATGTGGGTCAGGGCGCGTTTGCTGAACGAAATGGGCGTCAGGCCAGCCGGTCCGCCCAGCGTCTTCTGTGAGCCCGTGTAGGCCACATCCACCTTCCACTCGTCCATGAGGAAGTGGGTGCCACCCAGCGAGGCAACCACATCCACGACCAGGTAGCAATCGTATTGCCGGCACAGATCGCCGATTTCGCTGATGTGGCGCTGCAGGATGCCAGTCGAGGAATCGCCCTGTGCCACAAAGAAGACGCGCGGTTTGTGTGTATCGAAGGCAAACCGAATCTCCTCCAGCGTCAGCGCACGCCCAAAGCTCGCCTCCACGAAGCGCACATCGGCACCATACCGACGCGCTATGTCGCCCGCCCTGTGGCCCCACATGCCCGAGATGCCCAGCAGCACTACGTCGTTCTCCTCGATCAAGTTGCACAGAGCCGCCTCCATGCCGCTGTGGCCCGCTCCACTGATGCACATTGTGGCGTCATTCAGTGTCTGGAATATGTATTTGATGCCTTCCTTCACCTCGTCCATGATCTGTGCCCAAGAGCGGAAGAAAATTGCTTTAGAAACGGACTCTAAATTCCAAATTCTGATTGAGAATCTAGACTAACGGGAACGGAAGTATTCTGATTGGATTTGGACTTTATATACTAAGCGGAAATTTGGTTCAGTATATCATTTGAATGTGAAAGTAATATACCCCACTTTTGAATGCGAAAGGGGTATCAAAAGATTTGCGATGAAATTGCCGTGATTAGCCTAAATACATTGTTTGGCTGTTAACTGGAAATTCACAATGTGAGCTTTTCCCATATCAGCAAAAACAACATAATAAGCATTAACATTACATGCACTGTTAAAGTACAAGACAGCTAACAGCTAAATGGAAATGTGAAAGTAATGGTATTTCAAGGAAAGTAGTCTGTTAACTTGACAGTGTGACGCCACATTTGCGGAAAACAGATGCACGCGTGCTAATCTCTGTTTGAAAGTGAAGCAACTTTGACTCTGTTATCTGTTTTGAAGCCAGTAAACAAAACAAAATCGGAAATTGCGCTCAATTAATACCTATTTTTAGATTATAAAAAAGCGCACTCTAAGCTACTGCATACAGATTATGTCTGTCGCTAGGTTTTAAGCAAATCATTTTTTATTATTTACGGTAAGTATTGCAGCAAAAACTTAGTTAACTTCCCTATTTATGATTCTTTCGTATATGTTAGTGACTAGACAAATTGTGCTCTGTTAGCCGATTTAAATTTCGGCGCGCACTAAAGCACTAAGGATAAGTCTCTAGAGGTGGCAAAAAATGTTTTACATTTTTTTTCTCAGTTATCAAGATTTTCCGTAATTAGAAAGTCCCAATGATCAGTTAGCAGTGAGCGCTAAGGTTAACACATTATTACTACTATCACAAATTAAAATCAGTTCCATGTAGAGCGCTATTATATATGTAGTAAAGTTGAGTGAACGCACCTGTAGACACTCTGGATGCATGTGGCCCAGTACAGGGTTGCTCATGGCCTCAAGGACGCGCTGTGAGCAATTGGATGGACCCGGGCCCATCAAAGTTTTGCTGGGAACGAACAGCGATCGCTTGAGGACAAGTGGTGGCGGCACCTCCATTTCACTAAATGTTTGAATATACGAATAGGTAGTGTTTATTTTGTTTTGAAACTTTTCCACTATTCGTTTGGGTATTTATGTAACTCGAAAGTTGGTGTCTTATCACGGTAAATAAAAATCGGACTATAGAATTATATTGCTTTGTTAGTTTTTCTTGATAGTTGCTTTACGTTAAAATCTACAGATCTAACTGAAACGCTTTGAGTGCAACTCGGCTGGTTTTATAGCGGCGCAACGTTGCTTATCTATTCAAATAGCGCCAATGAACGCACTTGAAGTGGGGGGAAAACAAAAACAAGATGAGCACATTCTCAATTTCCCTTATCAATTTTGCTCTCGGAATCTTCATTCTATATACAGGAATACACACTTATGTATATATACGCAATATAGGTATATCAGCAATGGCCATCCAAAGGTTATTGTGAAATACAATGAGGTTGAGCTGCTGGTGTCTGCATGGACCGATACAGTGAACACTAGCAGAGTCTCAGACTCGGATCCACCTGTTTTTATAAACTACATAAATACCATATTATATACATACACACATACACATATAAATATATAATTATATTTGATAACCACCTATGAATGCGTGTTTATTATAGCCGGAAATATGTTTAGATGACACTTTTTGACTGTCGTTGAGATTATTGCATTTGAAAGCATTTCCTATAGACTGTTTTCATTTTTTTAATGGTATTTAAAAGTTTAGAAAATTTGTGCAATTATATTTTAATTTGAATTTTACAGTATTGGAAAACATAGAACAATTATCGCGCCAATGTATGTTCTTGCCGCACAGCAGTAACACGTTGGCGTTGCCAGATCTTAGCAATGATCTTGTAACAAGCTGGCAAGCTTAACAACAACACGTGCCAGCCGTAAACAAAATGAATTTCGTGTAATTTCGTTTGAGCCTGTTGAATGAGTTAAATACAAAAATGTCTCGTATTATTGTCAAACAGCTGCCCAAGCAGGTAAGTGGATAACCGTAAATTGTGTAGCCTTAAAGTTAAACCATTAAGTGGACTGTCTGCCAACAGATAAGTGAGGATAAGCTACGCAATATATTCGGCACCAAGGGAACGATCACAGATCTGCAGTTAAAATACACACCCGATGGCAAATTTCGGCAATTCTGTTTTGTGGGCTACAGCAGCGAGGCGGAGGCGCAGGCGGCCATCAAACATTTCAACAACACCTGCATACAGACGAGCCGCGTACGCGTGGAACCCTGTGCAGCGCTTGGCAGCGAGGAGAAGCCCCAATCCTGGAGCAAATATGCCAAGGATAGCAAAAAGAATCTGGAGAAGTTGAAGGCGGCACAGCCAGTGACGAAAAAAGTCAACGAGAAGAAAGAGAGGACAAACAAAGTTGATGAAATTCTGGCCAAGCACAAAGATGATCCGGCCTTCCAGGAGTTTATGCAGGCTCATGACAAGACGCGTGCGCTCTGGGCCAACGATGCAGGCATTGTTGCGGCTCAACCCGACAAGGAGACTGTGGACGCCCAGCCAGAAAATAATGAAAAAGTGAAGGAGACATCAGATGATGATGATGATAATGATGATGATGAGGAAGAGCAAGTGGAAGAGGAAGAAAGCCAGCCAGTTAAGCTCGCTGAGAAGCCCATTAGTGACATGGAATACATGAAATCTCTGATGGCAGGCAAAGCTGAAGCGGAAGCCAAACCAAGCACAGAGTCAAAGAGCAAAACGAAAGGAAAAGCCAAGCAGGATAAAGCCGATCTGCAGTTGTTCACCATCAAGATTCACAATGTTCCATATAAAGCCAAGCGTTCAGATATAATCAAGTTCTTCAAGCCCCTGAAACCTTACTCAGTGCGACTGCCCAGCAAAGTGCATGGTTTTTGTTACGTGGGCTTCAAGACGGAGCACGACATGGCCAGGGGCATGATGAAGAACAAAAGTTTCATATTGGGCAAGCAGGTGTTCTTTTCCGATTTCACCGACAAGAATCAGGTGACCAAGGCCAAGAAGTCGGGTGAAGCTATGGACGCCAATAGTAATCCTATAACCAATGTCAACGCCAAGTGGCAACAGCAGCAGGACAGCCTGAGCCATGAGGAGAACATATCCGAGTCGGGTCGTATATTCTTTCGCAATTTGGCCTACACCACCACCGAGGAGGACCTGCAAAAGCTATTCGAGCCATTCGGACCTCTGGTCGAAGTCAATCTGCCCGTAGACAAGGTGACGCGTCAGATCAAGGGCTTTGGCACGGTTACCTTCATGATGCCCGAGCATGCGTTGAAGGCGTTTAATGCGCTCGACGGCACCGACTTTCATGGCCGTCTGCTTCACCTGCTGCCCGGCAAGGAGCTGGACAATGCCCAGGAGCCGGTGGAAGACAACGATCCGAATCTTTCATTTAAGCAAAAGAAAGCGCTTAAGCTGAAACAGAACGCACAGAAGCCAATCGGCTGGAATACCCTATTTCTCGGCGCCAACGCCGTTGCCGAGATCCTGGCCAAGCAGTTCAAGATGAGCAAGGAGCGCATCCTGGACACCAGCGAGGGCGGCAGCAGTGCAGCCGTGCGACTGGCACTCGGCGAAACACAAATCGTTGTTGAAATGAAAAAGTTTCTCGAGGAGGAGGGCGTACGGCTCAGCGCCTTCGATGAGCCCACGCAGAAACGCTCCAAGACTGTGATACTGGCCAAGAATTTGCCAGCGGCCACCGAGGTGGCTGATCTGACGCCCATCTTTAGTAAATTTGGTCCCATCGGACGCATTGTGCTGCCACCCAGCGGCGTCACTGCACTCATCGAGTTCTGCGATCCCTCGGAGGCGCGACAGGCATTCAAAAAGTTGGCCTACAGCAAATTCAAGAATGTGCCGCTCTATCTGGAGTGGGCGCCGGAGGACACGTTCACCAAGACACTGAACGGCGAGGCTATCATACCCAAAACGGAGCCCAAGCCTGAGCCGGAGCCGAAGACGGAACAGGAGAAGGAGTTGGAGTTGGAGCAGAAACCAAAGCCCGATCCCGTGGCAGAGGATGCCGATGATGAGCCCGAGCCAAATACTACGATATTTTTGCGTAATCTTAACTTCAAGACTGTGACCCAAACGATACAGGAGCACTTTCAGAGCCTGGGCACTATACACACCATCGAGATAGCCAAGCGCAAGGATCCTCAGAATCCCAAACAGCTCAACTCCCTGGGCTATGGCTTTATCCAGTTCAAGCGGGCTGCCGTTGCGGCACAGGCCCTGAAGGACATGCAGTTGACCAAGATCGACGGCAATCTGGTGGAGCTAAAGCGCAGCGATCGCGTTCTCAAGTAAGTCATCCCAGAATTAACCTAAAGCTAGAATCGTTAATCAAACGCCATTTCTAATAGAACCCAAGACGATGGAGCACGCCGCCGCCAGGTGGCACAGAAGAAGCAGACTGGCACAAAGATTCTAGTGCGGAATATACCCTTCCAGGCGCACCATCACGAGGTGCGCGACATCTTCAAGTGAGTGACTCAATTAGTAGCCCATTAAATGGGCCACAAATAAATGTTCCCTAATCTTAATCTTAACCTGTGCAGAGCCTTTGGCGAGCTGACCTCACTGCGACTACCCAAGAAGATGACGCCCGGCGAGGATTCGCATCGTGGCTTCTGCTTTGTCGACTACACCACCAAGGCGGATGCAAAGCGGGCCTTCGATGCACTCAGCGCCAGCACCCATTTGTACGGACGCCGTCTGGTGCTGGAGTGGGCCAGCAACGAGGATCAGCAGGATGTGGAGGAGCTGCGCAAGCGTACTGCAATCAAATTCGATGGCAGCCAAGCGGCCGTCGAGGCCAAGCGTAGCCGTCGTGCCTACTTCGATGTGGACAGCAATGTGCCGCAGGAGACGGAGGACAACGAAGACGAAGAATGATGGAGTTACGTATATAAGTCCTATATAGATGTTATTGCAATAGATATGTGTATATAATATATAGAATTATATAGAACGACAATACAGATTTGATTGATGTTGAATCGAAACACTTTTAATCACTCCAATATGAGATCCAAGATTATTCGGAAAATTGCTCGACAAATCTGAACAACTCTTGGGGTATATATGAAATGAAGATTGCAGTCTGTAAACGATGACGAAAGAAGTTTGTGACAGTCAGGGGTACTTGACTAACTAATGATCCTCTTCTGGATAAATCCTTGTAAAATTCGACTATTGATCGACTCAAAAGTTGTGGAGTATATCAATAGAGGGGGTAACTTCTAATGTAAACCTCGAAAGCCTTGGAAGGTCAATGGTCATATACCTAATTAACGTATAAATAAAATATTTGAGCAATCTCTTGAGAACTTTGAAGAAGTACATAGAATTCAAAACTTTACACATAGCGAATATATACGAATATAAGAAAGAGTTTTCAAAAATTCGAAAGACAACTCTACAAACATTTCTAAATAGAATATATTTTATTTTACGTTTCTGTTTATATAAAAACCTAAGTAATTAATACAAAACAAGACGAAAAAAAAAAAACAGAATATTTTTAAGCATACACATACATATATAATCCTCATCAACATTATCATCATCATCAGCATTTCCATCATTATAAATTTTACTTTTAATTTGAAATCTGCTTGCGTGTTTAGTAATATAGTACTAATTAGTAATGTATGTATATATACTATATAAATGTGTGGGTGTGTGTGTGCTTGTGTGTAATATTGAAAATATTTGCCATTTGTTTGTTTTCTTCTCTCAAATATCAATTTTAACCTTGCAATAAGCGGGGCACAGGGCAATCTATGTATTCATGTATAGGTAAAGCATATAGTTTATACTATAAATATATGTATGTATGTAAACGAGTAGACGAGCAAAAGCAGCAGCTAAAAGCCTTGATGGGGGAAGTGTGCCTGGACTAGGACCAGCAACAGGATCAGTGTTGAACACTTGTCTACGCATGTATACATTCTGTATATATATATATAGTTATATATGTGTGTGTATATGTATGTGTCTGTATGTGTGTGTGTGTGTTGGCTCGCTATTGAGCACTGCTTTCAGCTAACAAATCGCCTGCAGCACAAACAACGCAATTCCTTTTTGCCAGCTATGCGCCTGTTATATACAATCATCAGCCAGGTTGTGTAGGTTGTGTGTGTTCTTGTTCTTGTTGTTGGTTGTGTGTGAGCATTTGAAGCATATAGCATATATAGAGTTATACATATGTAAATATTTGATTGCTTGTGCTATCCATTCATGGTGTCTAATCCTTTTTGATGCGCGCCTGGAGGAAGCAGTAGAGTATGCCCGCCTGGGCCATCACATCGACGGTGCTCGCTGCCAAAGGATCCTTTTGTTTGACCTGCGTCTGGCCAGGACGAAGTAGTGTGGGCCCAAATACCATGGCCAAATTGTGCAGCGACATTTTGTTATCCGCCTCCTTCTCGTGCACCCTGTGGAGCATTAGGATAACATTATTGATAAATCTGAAACATATCCATAGAGTGTTCTCTCTCTCTCTCACCTGATCAGATGATCCAGTATCAGATTGATTGAGGCTTTGTTAGCCGGCGGCAGCTCCTCAAATATCTTGAGCAGCTCGTTGATGCGTGTGGCTTCGTTGTTGTTTGTTAATTTGCTGAATGTTTCGAAGAAGCGTGGATAGAGCAGATCCGTGAACAGCGCCTCCGGCAGCTCACGCAAGAATGTCTTCAGTATGCCTGTCACCGAGTGGATGTCCACCTCTCGCAGCAGCTGCTCTGCCTCGTATGCGTCTGCGTAAATTGTGACATATGAATCGCTATGCATGCTTACGGACATTTCTAGCTGCTGACTTACCCGACTCGAACGCCTTCTTCAGCTTGGCCAAGTCGGAGGCAGAGCCACTGACGCGATAGCACCCAACCTCCAGCATTCCACGTCGCTCCACTTCCCGAATGCAGGCACTGATTATGAACGGAATGTCGCGTTTCTCGCGCCTGCAGAAGGGAAAATTCAACATGAAAATGAGAATCATATAAAGCTTTGCAGCTGATCCATTCTTAGCTAAGATTTGTGGAGATGGGAAATCAAAATCTATGTCTATAACTCGATACCTCTCGCCTTATCAGCTTAAGCGATAAATGCAACATTTTCTTAACTATATTTCCATCCTCTCACTTCTTCCCTACCCCTCCCACCCAGTCTCTCCTTTACTTGACAGTGAAACTTACTTTAATACTTGACTCATTTTGGCACCAAAGAGCGCGCCTGGCTTGTTGCTGCCGCGGCATTGCTCGCCGGGCACGAAACGGAAGGTGGCGGTCAGCTCCAGGGTTTCGCTCAGCTTGAGGTTGCGCGTCTGCGTCGTCTCCGTCAGCCAGCTGCGGCTCAGCTGTGGCACAGCAAAACGAAGGAGGAGGAGAAGAAGAAAAGGACATTCAATTATACAGTAAATGCCAATGCCTCTGCTTAGCTCACCTTGAGTATGTATTTGGCACGAAGCAGTGGCCGCTCCTTTTCCTCGTAGAGCAGCACACGCACATTCTGGCTGCCCTCCAGTTCGAGCATGAAACTCTCGTTCCACATCGGCGTCTGACTGCGACAGATCTTGGTGGTTGCCTTGCGGAAGTAATGGCCATACGAGTCCACTTCGATGCATATGTACAGATCGGTCGGCTGCTCGAGGCCCTGCAGTCCCTGCACGCCCATATGCAGATCGCCGACGAGCAGACTCTCATCGTTCGTGTTGCGCATCAGATAGGAGCCCATTTCAGTCTTCATGCCCTTCTGCATGGCCACAATGAAGGCGGTCACCTCCAGCGAGTTGATCGTATTGGCTCCAGGCAGAGTACACTTTTGCTAAAGTTGCAATGGGCGAGAAAGAGTGAGAGAAGGAAAAAGGTTAATATGGGATAAAGATAGAGATCTACACTAGATCGTAGATTCTTTTCATAATCAGCTATCAACTTTCTCTAGTGAAACTAATTTCTCATTAAAATACGCTCTATTGAGAGAGAGAGAGAGAGAGAGAGAGAGAGAGAGAGAGAGACAGAGAGTGCTCTCACCTTGAGCGACATTATCGAGTCTATCCACTGAGTGCGCTCGAAGTCGGAGCTGAGGAAGAAGGTAATTGTCTTATTGTTGGCCTTGTTGCCCAGCCGCAGCACCAAGTTGGGCGTGGCCAGCACCAGCTGTGACTCCAGATCGGCCAGTTTGCGGCGATATTTGTCGCCGGTGCGCACGCCGTTCGCTTCGAGCGTTAGCTGATCGCGCACCGATCGCAAATTGCGCTTCACTTGCGATATGTTCGCGGGACTAGATTCCTTGAGGTCCGCACTCGTGTCGGACTCCTCGTACACGGTGACATCCTTGAGCGGTATATACCATTTGAGCTCGTAGTCGATGCGATCCCGGCCCAGCGCCTTGTACTTGGCACACGCAATCACATCGTTGAAGAGGAACAAATGCCGCAGCTTGCGATGCCCGTCGACCAGCTCCACAATGAACGAATTGCGCACCATGCGACGCAGATTGCGATTCGATTCGGTGGGCAAGCGCTGATTGACCACATTGAATTGATTGAGGAACATTTGAATGATCTTCTGGGCCTGTCGCAGCGGCTGGTGATCCGGATGATTTGGCGGCGTCTCGCGCAACAGATCATTGAAGACGAGCGCATTGATTTGCACTCGGGCCACCGGCTTATGCAGCAGATCCTCCAGCGTCAGCGACTGTTCCGTCTGCAGATTCACCACAATTGTGGAGACGATCTTCTTGAATTGCGGATTGTTGGCGCTGCACTTCTTCACCGTGTCGATCGCCTGGCCATAGTTGTGCAGGAATGCGCTATACAGATCGAACATGTCAGCCAGACGCTTGAAGGGCTCCCCGATCAGCACATCGCCGCCCTCATGCGCCACAATTGTCTTCAGATCGCTCAGAAAGGCGGTGTGCACATCGTACAGCTCGTCGATTTTAAAGAAAATCGTATTCTCCTCCTCCTCCTTGATCACAGGCTGTGATGTGCCCAGCGTGGCGTGTATAGCGCGCTTATACTGCGGGGAGAAACGGGAAGCGATTAGCTGCTATATGTGGTTTATGATATAGTATATGTATATGGGACACTCACCTGTAACATCTTATTCAGGCATTCCACATAGATCGTCTCGCTGTGTATGATGGAGCTCAGTATGGAGCGGATCTTGGCGCCACGCGCATTGCCCGATAACTAGAGGAATACAGATGGAGACTTATTAATACATATATCTCTCGATTCCGTGCGGGCTACAACTGTGATTGTGTCATCTACAAAATGATTGCATGAAGGGCTTAATCTATGCATGTGCTTTAGCTATAACCCTTGCACCAGTAATTATAAACAAGAAACTGTATACAAATATGGAGAGAGAGAGAGAGATATGTACAGCTAATGCATATGACTTGAATCGGATGTATTTATATACATAAATCATGTTCTGTTTTGATTTGCTTTGTGGAAGAGTCTGCTCAAAAAGTAGCGCGACTTTTGAATTCGTATACTCGATTTTTGATTTTATACGGTGTTGTATTGGGACTCACATCCCTCACTTATGCCTAGTAATCCCATCCATTTTGAATGTTCCAAATTTTCATGTTTGACAGCTGTGTTCTGGCTCCTCTTCCATTTTTGGCTTTTAGAATAATCAATAACGTCATCCCAGTATTCCGCAGAGCCTTTGCGACTTCTTAGAAAGACGATTTTATGATAGCTGAGCTAGAAATGGAGGCATTGCTGTAGCAGCTAAACACGATCACAGATCGAGGCGTGGAAGTGAGTAATCTCTGATGGAGATTACGTTGAAACACAAAGTCAAAATTCGTGATACTCTTTGAACAGAACTCGTATATAAAGAGGGGGAGAGAGAGAGGGAGAAGTATATATGTACATACAGCTAAAACATATAAATTATGTTGGATATATATACATACATATAT